TAAAATATCTTACAGCAGCAATAGTTGAATCTATTTGTAGTCTGGGCCCTACGAAGGTATTTGCTGTTGTGAAGGAGAAAGCAACAGCAAGAAGGCGATGGAGGCTGGTGTGCTGCTGCAGCAGCTGCTGCTGCTGCTGCCGCTGCTGCTGCAGCTGCCTGTGCCATTGCAAATGCTGCTGCTCAGCCCCACAACCTTCCAATACAACCTGCTGCTGCTGCTGCTGCTGCTGCTGCTGCTGAAGGTAGAGAGAAACTTGCTGCTGCTGCTGCAGCACTATAAGATGCAGCCGCACCGACTCACAAACCAAAAACGAAAGCGTCAGGTCTGCAGCAGCAGCAGCAGCAGCAGCAGCAGCAGGAGCAGTAGCAGCAGCAGCAAGTGCAGCAGCAGCAGTAGCAGCAGCAGCAAACGCAGCAGCAGCAGCAAACACAGCAACATTATTTCGTAAAAGCTGCTACTGCAGCAGCAACTTGAATCGTAGAAGAAACGATGCTGCATGCAGCAGCAGCAACAGCAGCAACAGCAGCAGCAGCAGCAGCAGCAGCAGCAGCAGCAGCAGCAACAGCAGCAGAGTGAAGACAACCACATACCTTCCTTGTCTTTCGGTGTAGGGCGGCTGCCTCCGTGCTGCTGCATTTCATGCTGCTGCTGCTGCTGCTGCTGCTGCAGCTTGCTGCTCTTGCGTCTGCCTGAGCTAGAGGGCAAGGGGTAGGCAAAGAATGGATCGCTGCTGCTGCTGCTGCTGCTGCTGCTGCTGCTGCTGCTGCGCTGCTGCTGCTGCTGCTGTGGCAGCAGCAGCAAAGCGTCGCGCTGCAGCCTCTCCTCAATCAGAGAATCTATAAAAGAAGCGAAACAAAANGCAGCAGCAGCAAAGCGTCGCGCTGCAGCCTCTCCTCAATCAGAGAATCTATAAAAGAAGCGAAACAAAAAAACAAATCCTGCTGCACACTGTCTTCCTGCTGCTGCTGCTGCTGCTGCTGCTGCTGCTGCTGCTGCTGTTGCTGCTGAAGTTGGCTCTGTTCCCGCTCAAGCTGCAGCACGCAACAAACCCACAACAGCAGCAGCAACAGGTGCAGCAGCAGCAGCAACAGCAGCAGCAGCAGAATGTAGGTTATGTTGTTAGTATTAAGTATGCTATTATTGCTGCTGCTGCAGCTGCTGCAGCATCTGCTGCTGCTTCTGCAACTGCTGCTGTTGCTGCTGCACCTGCAGCAGCAGCAGCAGCAGCAGCAGCAGCAGCAGTTGCTGCTGCTGCTGCTTACCATTTCGAATTGCTGCAGCACCTGCTGCGGCGGCAGCAGCAGCTGCTGCGCCTTCAGGTGCAGCAGCGCAACACGAGCAGCAAAAGATGTGTCTGATATAGACTCTAACAAAGACAAACACTTGCGTTGCTTCCCCTGCAGCAGCAGCAGCNAAAAGATGTGTCTGATATAGACTCTAACAAAGACAAACACTTGCGTTGCTTCCCCTGCAGCAGCAGCAGCAGCAGCAGCAGCAACAGCAGCAGCAGCAGCAGCAGCAGCAGGAGAAGGTTTTTGATTGCAAGAAAAAGCAGCAATGAGGCAAAGACAGCCGCAAAGATATAAAAACAAAACAAAACAAACAGCAGCAGCAGCAGCAGCAGCAGCAGCAACAACAACAACACAAAGAGAACAGCAACACCTGCTGCTCCTGCTGCTCCTGTTGCTGCTGCTGCTGCTGCTGCTGCTGTCTTACTTTTTTAAGGAGTTGCTTTGCATGCGTCATCCTCATATCAACGCCAAGCTTATTGAGTAGTTGCTGCTGCTGTTGCTGCTGCTGCTGCTGCTGCAGCAGCAGAAAGGATTCAACTTGTTTATAGTGAGCTGCACGCACGTCTCCTGGTGTGCATACACCGCAGCAGCTCTGCTGCAGCGCGAGGCCGACAGCAGCAGCAGCAACGTGCTGCTGCAGTGATTCTAATGCAAGTTTTGCTGCTGCTAGCTGCTCAGCTGTTCTTGCGTTTGCTTCTGCTGCTGTTGTTGTTGTTGCTGCTGCTGCTGCACCTCCTCCTGCTGCTCCTGCTGCAGCAGCAGCAGCAGCTGCTGCTGCTGCTGCTGTCGGGATCGCTCTATCAATAAGCAGAGCAGCAAGAGATAGCTGCTGAGACACAGAAAGACAGCTCCAAGCTGCACGTACACCGCATCTGC